TTTCTCAAGACAAGGCCTCCCTCTGCCATCCAGGTTGGAGTGCAGTGACACCATCAATGACACCATCAGGGCTCACTGCAGCCTTGACCTCCCCAGGCTCAAGTGATCCTCCCACCTCATCCTCCCAAGTAGCTGGAACTATGGGTGCACACCACCACACCTGGCTAATTTTCTTATCTTTTGTAGAGATGGGGTTTCGTTATGTTGCCCAGGCTGGTCTCGAACTCCTGGGCTCAAAGCAATTCACCTGCCTTGGCCTCTCAAAGTGCTGAGATTACAGGCATGAGCCCCTGTGCCTGGCTCTTATAATGCATTACACACACCACAGTGTAGTGAGCACATTCTTTCTTTTTTTATTATTTTTTAAAATTTATCATTATTTTTAAAGATGGGGTTTCACCATGTTGGCCAGGATGGTCTTGATCCCCTGACCTCGTGATCCGCCCTCCTTCTCCTCATGATCCTCCTCGGCCTCCCAAAGTGCTGGGATTATAGGCGTGAGCCACCGTGCCCAGCATGAGCACATTCTTTCACTGAAATAACACTATCCATATTCACATATACGTACAACTAGCATCGTTAGAAACATCTGCTATACATTGTCTTTACAAGTTGCATTCCATTAAAGCACCACAGTGTTCCAGTGACCAGTGAGTGCTGATTTATTATCAATTTTCACTGTTCCCTTCTCACAATTTTTACCTGGGCCCAGTGCTGCCCAGAGTAAAGGCTACATTCTTCACTCCAAATGTCGTAAGACTAGTACCAGCCAATGGTATGTAACAAGTGATGTGGGTAACTTTTAATGTTCTTAAAGGGAGAGAGTGTGCCCCTTATTTCATCCCAGTGCTTGGAACATAATCAAATGGCAAGCCACCTGAGATAGTAGACTAGAAGGCCATGCAGCAACACAGAAAGAGCCTGGCTCCTGGATGACCTCATGGAGCAGAGATTCCTTACCAGCCCTTGACTGTCTACCTCCATACTATTACATAAGAGAAAAGCTTCTCTCTTGACTAAGTCACTCTTGGGATCAGCCTACATCCCAACTAAATCTATACCCTAACCTTTGCGAGACAAATCATTGCATTGAGGTTATGTAAAGGGAGGTGGGGGAAAGAGAAATATATGATGATGTACTGATCAGTATTCCCTGTTCTTCAGTTTTTAAAATATGGTTTGTTTGTTTGTTCATTTTGAGATGGAGTCTTGCTCTGTCGCCCAGGCTGGAGTGCAATGGTGCAATCTCAGCTCACTGCAACCTTCGCCTCCCAGATTCAAGGCATTTTCCTGCCTTGGCCTCCAAGTAGCTGGGACTGCAGTCATATGCCACCACTCCCGGCTAATTTTTGTATTTTTAGTAGAGACGAGGTTTCACAATGTTAGCCAGGCTGGTCTCGAACCCCTGGCATCAGGTGCCACCTTAGCCTCCCAAAGTGCTGGGATTACAGCCTTGAGCCACTGCGCTTGGCCTAAAATATGTTTTAAAATTCAAGTTCAAACTAATATATATGCTAAAATAAATATGAAACTAAGCACATAGTTTGTATTAGCATCTGATAGCATGATGACTTTATTTTACTTTTTCTAGTTTATTTTTTCATTCCCTGTGGTTCTTTATTCAGCAAATGCACATTGAACAACAGAATTGGGTTTTAAACACCATGAAGGAACACTGACGCACTATGAGGAGCAATGAGATGGATAAAAAAGTACTTCCTTTCTCTAAGAAGATTACAGTGTACTTGCAGAGATAAAATGTTTATTAAAAGGTGGCATGTGATAAGTGCCATGGAAAAGATCCCAAGGAGGCATGTCAGCTCAGAGGAAACATCCCTGCCACCCTTGGGCCTTCATGACCAAGAGGTTGTTTAAGCAGGTTTGTTTTGGTTGCACTTCAGAAGAATATTACCTCAATAATAATATATGGCCAGCCGCAGTGGCTGACACATATAATCCTAGCACTTTGGGAGGCCAAAGCTGGAGGATTGCTTGAGCCCAGGAGTTCAAGAACAGCCTGGGCAATGTAGTGAGACCTGTCTCTACAAAAAAATTTTTTTAAAAATAGCCCGGTGTGATGGCATATGCCAGTGCTCCTAGCTGCTTGAGGGGCTGAAGTGTGAGGATCCCTTGAGCCCGGGAGGTTGAGGCTGCAGTGAGCCATGATCATATGACTGTACCCCAGAGTGATGGAACCACAGGACAATAAAACGAGACCCTGTCTCAACACAAACAAACGGACAGAAAAACAAAAGCAATGTAGGTATTTTTTGTTACTGGATAGTTTATGTAACTGTTCTTCCAGATTCTGTCTATCCTTTAAGCACATAACAATGATCTTTGCATTTTCATCTTACTCTTATTTTACTGAGATTATGTTTTTATTGTGATCATTTAAAAGATTTATCTCTGGGTATAAAAATGTCCTCATTATTAATCAGGAAATAAAACAAAGTAATGGTGATGATATAATCTTTTCTTAGATTGCAAATAATCTCATAGTTATAAAAAATATTCCCTATTTATTAGGCAAACAGTGCCCCCTTTTGACCACTGGATCCTATAAAAGAAATCCTAAGACAGGAGACACTTTTCATCTCTGCTAAAAATTAAATTATATATAGATTTATATTATTATATCTAATTATGTATCATATTTGTTATAGCAATAATACCTAATTATATATTTTATATATAGTATATAATTTCTAAAGAAACCATCCTATGTACGTTTAAGACTATACTGTGTGCTTTTTATTGTTTATTTTGTAGATTCATGTTGTATTTTTTTTAATGATTAGGTCCACTAGAGTGTTTAATGGCAGTTTTGTAAGATCCAAATTTTAGTTTTATGAATCTTCTTTATCCTGTCTGATTCAGGTTGAATACGAAGGCTTAAAGCATGAGATTAAGCGATTTGAGGAGGAGACAGTGCTGCTGAACAGCCAGCTGGAGGATGCCATCCGACTGAAAGAGATTGCTGAGCACCAGCTGGAAGAAGCCCTCGAGACTTTGAAAAATGAAAGAGAGCAAAAGAACAGCCTGCGGAAGGAGCTCTCCCAGTACATCAGCCTCAACGATAACCATATCAGCATCTCAGTAGATGGACTCAAATTTGCTGAGGATGGGAGTGAACCAAACAATGATGATAAAATGAACGGGCATATCCATGGGCCTCTTGTGAAACTGAATGGAGACTATCGGACTCCCACCTTAAGGAAAGGAGAGTCTCTGAACCCTGTCTCTGACTTATTCAGTGAGCTGAACATTTCAGAAATACAGAAATTGAAGCAGCAGCTTATGCAGGTAAGAACTTGGTTTCAGGCCGCTAGAGTGAATTTCCTGTAGATTGCATGTAGTATGTTGTGGGACTTCTGATTCTCGATTCTGGCGTTTCACTTCCAGATTTCTCTTCTCTTCTCTTCTCTTCTCTTCTCTTCTCTTCTCTTCTCTTCTCCTTTTTTCTTTTCTTTTCTTTTCTTTTCTTTTCTTTTCTTTTCTTTTCTTTTCTTGGGATGGAGTCTTGCTCTGTTGCCAGGCTGGAGTGCAGTGGCATAATCTCAGCTTACCACAACCTCTGCCTCCAGGGTTCAAGCGATTCTCTTGCCTCAGCCTCCAGAATAGCTAGGACTACAGATGCATGCCATCATGCCTGGCTCATTTTTGTACTTTAGTGGAGACAGGGTTTCACCATGCTAGCCAGGATGGTTTCGATCTCCTGACTTTGTTATCCACCCACCTTGGCCTCCCAAAGGTCTGGGATTACAAGTGTAAGCCACTGCACCTGGGCCCAGATTTCTTTTCTAAATATTGCTTCTTCAATTAGAAACTTTGAAAGTGCAGTATTTTAGAAAGACATGACAGAAGGAGTGTTGATGAGAGATGCAATCTCTTATTTTCATCACTTCAAGAAATGAATTTCTTAGAGTCACAAATTAAGTTCCAGTGAAGTTTGAGTAAAGAGCCTTGCGTGGGGTGCAGTGGCTCACACCTGTAATCCCAGCACTTTGGGAGGCCGAGGTGGGTGGATGACCTGAGGTCAGGAGTTCAAGACCAGCCTGACCACCATGGAGAAACCCCGTCTGTACTAAAAATACAAAAAATTAGCCAGGCGTGGTGGCACACTCCTGTAATCCCAGCTACTCTGGAGGCTGAGGCAGGAGAATCGCTTCGACCTGGGAGACAGAGATTGTAGTGAGCTAAGATCATGCCATTGTACCCCAGCATGAGCAACAAGAGCAAAACTCTGCCTCAAAAAAAAAAAAAGAAGAAAAAAGAAAGCGCCTTAATGCATTTCCGATTAACAAAAGAATTCAAAAGCTTTATATACAAGTAAAATGATGAAAACCATGCAGGTTTTCATCACAAGTAACTGTGTATATAGCTTCCAGATTTATGGTTACTGTTAGGCACGTCACTCTCTTAAAGAGACCCCCCCAGGCAGGCTTTCTGTGGGCAATGAAGCAATTTTATTTCGCAATTCGGTGCAAGTTGGCCAAGTCCGAGAAAGGAGTTAAGCAAGGGGAGTAGGAAGGGGGACTGGTTAAATAGGTTGGGGCAAATGGTCAGTTAAAGATGATAATCTACATTAGGGAGGGGGAAGGTATCACGGGGTGCATGGTCACAAGGGTAGGGGTCATCTATTACAAACAGGCATGGTCATAAGGGTGAGGGTTATCTGTTGCAAGCAGAGGGGAGGGTGAGGTAAATTACATAGTCACAGGGCTGGAGGTTTTGAGAAACCTAATGTCTAGGGGGAAATTTGTGCAAGGCTGAGCAGGAACAATGGTTGAAGGTTGCAGGGGAAGAGCAATCAGTTGAGGCAGGAACTAGTTGTTTCACTTCCCTTTGTGGCCATCTGGTTACTTTCTGGCTCCTGGAGACCATCCAAAGGTGTACATGCGTGTCACCAAGGCTATGATGGCCAGGCTTGGTCTTGGAGGCCTGACAGTTACATTTCACAAGAATACTTTAAACTTTAAAAAACATAAAGGACTTCCTATGTACAAATTATTCAGGATACCATATAATTAAAAATACAGAACAGGTATAATCTAAAACCAAAGGATTCTTACTGCAACTTGAGTTAAGCCTTAAAGTTTTAGCATCTTCAAATCAAATGCCTTGCGAAGAGTTCCAGCCTTTAATCTTATTTCTTGTGAAACAGCTTTCTAGTTTAGAGTCTTGCCTTCCTGCCGCACCTAATGGAAATGTTAAGGAACAGCAGCGTCACCTGGGGGCTTATTTATACAAATTGCTGAGCTCCATGTAGATCTACTGAAGCTTGTTAAGTGATTAAATTTGAGGCTTAAGCTTCAATCTCAATCTTCTCCCTCCAAGGTTCTTCATGTATAGCTGATAATTAGAGATTGTTAAGCCTCTGGCAGTCATATGCCTCCACAGAAATGATGACTGGAAAAGTGAAATTAGCAGAAATAAGAGAATAGAGAGCCAATGATGTTGATTTGTTAACAGGTTTATTGTTAATACAACAAGACTTAGCATATCATGCACTTTCCTTGCCCAGTGCTTTTGGCTGCTTAAAAAAGAATTTGTTCTCACACTATTTAATTTGAATCAAGATAAGAAGTCATGACCCCTGGAAAAAAATGATTTTTTTTTTTTTTTGGAGTCTCACTCTGTCACCCAGGCTGGAATGCAGTGGTGCAATCTTGGCTCACTGTAACCTCTGCCTTTTGGGTTCAAGCACTTCTCTGTCTCAGCCTCCCAAGTAGCTGGGATTACAGGTGCCTGCCACCATGCCTGGCTAATTTTTGTATTTTTAGTGGAGATGGGATTTCACCATCTTGGCCAGGCTGGTCTTGAACTCCTGATCTTTAGTCCACCTACCTTGGCCTCCCAAAGTGCTGGAGCCACCGCGCCCAGCCGAAAATGAATTTTATATAGACTTTCACCTGACCACAAAGTCCAGTTCTGTGTAGGTGCTTCTTTTCTATGTCTTTTTGCTCAGTTTACACTAATACAGCTAGGTTGATTGAAACAGATAACATGTACTTGTGAAAAAGTTTTACAGGATAGATATATTCATAAGAATTTGTGCCCCCCAGATTGAGTAGTATTAAATACAAATTATATCAGTTTTTTTTTTTTTTTAACTCTCTTGGTGATGGATTTGAGATAAAATGTTAGTGGGTTCAGGCTTTTTGTTTATTTTGGTGGCAGTGCAGAAGATATTAGGAGAAGAGGCTTCTATGCATAAAACAGCACAACAGTTTTCAACCAGGTCATCTATTGGCTGAAAGCTCAGAGCTGTGCTCAGATTTAATTTTAAATGTGATCTGAATTGGGTAATATAAAAGTCTAAAAAGATGAAAAGTTCAATGAAAAGAATGGTGGAAAACAAGTAAGTTCTTAGCAGTAGAGTGGCTCTTAGGCATTCTCAATAGACTGTTGTTTGTGTTTGGGGTGGGACAGTTCCTCATTGCCAGAGAATGTTTTCTTCTTTCAGAAGGTTTAGCATCTCTGATCCCAACTCAGGAGAAGCTGATTACATTTCCTCAGTTGAAGTGATGACCAGAAATGCCCCATGTATTTCAAATGCTCTGAGGGTCAGCCACTAGTTGACAATCATTCTTAGAGGACAGCACTTTACTCTCCCATGGACTGGGATACTTAAACCCTTCCTCGTTCGAGTGTCACACAGGTTTATCAGTTACATGCAGAGTGCTGAGAACAGGGACTAGCTCACAGTAAATGCTCAAAAGTTATGAACTGTTATTATTTCAATTCCATCAGTCCTTTAATTTGTTAGGCATTCACTTTATAATAATTTAGATAATTATTATTAAGTATTCTTTTTAGGCTATTCGCTCAAGGATAATCATCTCAAAAGGGACTGATGTGGATACTGGTAGGAATATAGAAAAATAACAGTTAAGTCTCATGATGCAAGAATGTCTGAAAAGGATTTTCATTTAGCAAAACGTCAAGTGAGAAAAAATTTGCTGGACAAACCCTCCCTCAATCTGCCAGAAAGCTGTGTCCCTTCAAATCTTTCATCAGCACTTAACTGACGTTCACAGTTTGCAAAGATGTAGAGGAGCGCAGGTCGGTCCTTAAATCCCAAAGTTTGCTCTAGGTTTAATTGTGAAAACCAGGTTCAGCACAGGAAGGACTTTGCAGTTTCCAGTCTCATATTAACAACCCTAATTTTTTTAAGGTAGAATATCCATTTATCTTCTTGTAATCAACATTTTTTAAAAAGCATCAGCTTTTCCATGCCTTCTCATGAATTATTTCTTTGGGATACAGTTTTTTCCTTAGCCACACATCCCATTAAACCCATTAAACATTGGGTTTAATTTATGTAAATAAACACATTACAAAAATATTACAGGATATATGGCCTAGAATTTATTGTAATTGGCTTTGATGTTAATAAGGAATAAATATGGCAATTCTGATCAATGAGAGTACTGCTATGCACCTGAAGCATATATATGTCAGTACCATTGTGAAGAAGGATCGGCCGCAGACCACTTGGACACTGAACTAGGAAGAAAGAGGAGTTTTATTATTATTATTATTATTATTATTATTATTACAGTCGGGAGCCAGGCAACATATTTGTCTGACAACCAAGCTCGATCAACAAAGAGAAGGTCTGCCTTTCTATAGGCTTACACTCTGGATATTGCACATAAAATGATGTTAGGTTTACAGCCTTAGAAATTACAAGTGAAAGGGTCTTGGGTTTACAGCCTTAGAAATTACAAGTGAAAGGGTCTTGGGTTTACAGTTTTAGAAATTACAAGTGAAAGGCTCTTAGTCGATGGAGGAGTGGGGTAGGGGGTTTGATCTTGTTTAAGCAAAAACGGTGTCTTCCGGAGAGATTCCCCCATACCACACCTGCTATCTTATAGGAAGGTGATTTAGGAGGCGCCAGTCGCAGCCTTTTCTTCTATTGAAATGCAGTGTGGAGGTCAAGGGGGAGGCGGTCTTAGATGCTTGGGTCTCCTTCCTCACCCATTCTGGAAATTCTGAAGAAGAACCAATTAAATGTACTTTAAGTATAGCTATCTGGAATGCTTGGGGCCAGGTGTGTTTTAAAAATTAAAGTTTCGGATTGTAAAACGGTAATATGCCATATATGCCATATATATTGTAATATCTCCACTGGGATCAGTTGCAGCATCCAGTGATCAAATAATATTACATTTCTATAGTGAAATGTGAGTATTCACACTAAGAATAAAGTGAGGACCATTAAAGGCCTCACACCAGTCAGGTGCAGATTGGCTGCCCTGGGAGTTTAGGACCGTCTGAATATTGCCACCAAGTGAGTC